CATGAGCCTGTTTGAATTCGGAACTCAACCCTAAATAAGGTGGAACATTACAGAGTAGCAACAAGAAAAAATAGTTTGTTTCCACATTCAAGTTGACCACAATCTTTTATGTTAACCTGTGTAACTACATCTAATCATAATATAGGTAGAACAATTATGAGCGGAAAAGTTATTCAAAAAATTAGCAGGACTATCTCCAACAATAAAGACCGCCAAAGTCTATAGAAAACCTGAATAACTTTAAAAATCAACATCCACATTAATATATTTTCCTGTGAAAGAAGTCAATTACGAAGAAAAAAATCTCCTGAATGTGGTTAACAGAAATGTGTTCTGAAATTTTATTCCACATTTTCCACTTCAAATGCCTATAAAAAAAATGTAGACAAACAAATTACTCACAGCGGATGATGTGTGGGCGCATTTTTAATAACTTTCAAACTATAGAAAGTTATTGAAATTTCGGAAATGAATTCAACTTCGGCTTTTAAGCGGAGATCTATTTTTAAAACATCGCTTCCTTTTACGATGAACAAGTTTCTAACTGTAGAAATACTGACAAAATTATTTAGAAAGCAAAATCCTTTTTGTACGTTACGTATCCACCTCCAAACAAACTTTTCGTTTTTCCTCATGCGCGGCGAAGCGACTGAAAAGAAATCGTTCGTCGAACATTCCCCGATTAATAACCCGGTAAAAAATTTCGACATAATAATAACGAAACGACGGCGTCGCCTATTATAGGACATATTTATAGACGGCACACCTCATAACGGGCGCGATCGAAGCAGTTTACTCTTATTTTACGGTAAACCTATTAAATATACATTTATATCCATTTAGCGTCATAAAGCTGCCGCACTCGGACCATAAATATTGCATTACACAGCACTTGCTCTGTCCGACATTTGGCCACCAACACCTCCGTAATAAGCGCCGCGAAATTTTGGCGCTGAAACGCTATTAATTCATTAGAAACTTGCAAAACTTATCTCGCTTATTGTTCGACGACAATTTATAGCTAACTCGTTAACTGTATTAGTTGTTCATTACCACAAACACGCCGTAAACAGGAAAATCAAAGAGAACAGAAGTTGTACCAGCGCAGTGGGTTTTTTGTTTTTCTACAATTAAAACTGAGTGGGGAAGTTTTATGTTAAACGCAGTGATAGTGTATGTATACATTGCAGTTTGTTTTATACCTACTGAAAACTAACCACATGCGTGTGTGGGTGTAACATTTGTGCAAATGCAAGTCTCTACAAACATTCATAATTAAAATGGGAAGTAACAAGCGTACATGTATAGACATACTATAATGAGCTTGGAATATTCTCAATTATAAAGTCACAGGATTCGGTGGTAGTAAAATAACGATACCACTTGTTTTTCGGTAAAAATTCTCTGCTGATCATGTCGGTGTTGGAAAAATTTTCTCCACTCATGAAATCGGATAGTCTCTTTAACGCTATTAGATAATTGTTTAAAAGTAAAATGATATTCTTTGATAAACTAAGACCGAAATTTTTGAAGTCGTTGTCATTTAAAAAGCCTCTATGGAGCACATCATGTAAGTATTTATTCACGATAAGTATGAAATTTATTCCGAAAGAGAAAAGCAGATTGTGTTCTCAAAATCTGTATTTGCTTTCTACACAAATGGAAAAAGCTAATTCTTTACATTTACATTTATATCACAATTGGTTAATTGTTTACACAAATATTGCACACCCTTTAACAGTTGCTTTACACTATGTTTTAAATATTAACGTTTAAATGAGACTTAGTTAAATTGAAAAAAACCTTATGTCATTTAAGTTTAACTGTTGAGAGATATCTGTCACTGGAAGCAACTCAGATCGTCGTCATAACAACATAAAAAACAATGTAGTCATTTTTATAAATCAAGAAAGTTCTGAACAGGAACACTAAATCGAAGTCAATCACATCGTAAGACGAAAAAAGACATTTCTATCATGTCAGGATAGTGTATTTTGTTCCTATAACTCAAGTAAAACATAAAAAAACCACTAGAAAAAAAAATGTTGGGATAAAACGAAAACAATCTGGAATTGAGAAAAGTGACTTTTCGAGACGATTTAAGAAACTTTTTGTTTCCACCTAGGTGATTTTTTTCTATTATTTAAAGAGATATAATAGAATTAATTAGGTACAAAACAACGTAATTTACTTAATGCTTTTTGTATAAAAATGGTGGATGCGCCGGGATAAACGAATATTTTTAAACATTTATTCCAGGAGACATATTACATTTCTTTACATATTTTACTATACGAATAAAGCAAGAAAAATGGCCTTTCGAAACGACTTAGGCCACTTTATTTTGTTTCACCTAAAACTTTTTGTGCCGAAACAAAGCTTACTTGTTAAAGATAACCTAGGAGTCTTGTTTTAAAAAATATTAGATAACTACAATTTACAAATTAGGTCGTCCTATATAAATAAATTACAACACCATCATTCTTTTTAACTTCAAAGTTTTTAGCAAAATTTAAGAAATTTAAATGTAGCGGAATTGAGAATTTTTAGATGTGATCATTTTCTTGGCGGATAAGCGAATATGTTGAAAACCGTTCATGAAAAAACCTCTGCCACTGATAATTTTGATTTTAAATTATCGTGAAAATGCTAATGTGCAAATTTTTTCGATATGTCAAAACCCGTGAAGCAAAACAATGATTTTTTATGTCGTTTAACTGTTTACTTCAAGTTTCAATCTACTTTATAAATGGATATCTAATAAAATTTAAATTTGAAGTGAAACATTTATAATTTACTTGAGAAATTATACATATAATGAACGGCAATACGAATACTGTCGATAAAATGTTTACTAAATCTTTATTTTTTACGAATTTTGTACAAAAATTTTCTAAAATATTATTTAAAACAAATCCTCACATATGCAACTACCCCCAGGTAACTGCACATCAGCACTAAGTTTGGGTGAGAATCCTGTAGTAATTATCTAAAATAACCTTTTTTTTTAATTCTGCGAAGTGAAATTATACAGAATTATATCATTTAATTAAAAAAATCACCAAAATTTTGGAAACTTTTGAAAAAGTTACAATACTTATAGGCCCAAAAATTTAAGATTTATTAAAAAAAGGCTAGAGAAGTGCTTTATCGATAGCTTTTACAGACATAACATGAAGTTTTAAATGGGAAATATTAATGGGGTAACAGTTTTCAAAACTTAGAAATGTAACATTGTGGAGCAAAAATCGCCAAATCTTAAAATAAATTAGTGATGAATAAATAAATAAGTAAATTATAATAATTATATTGAAAACATAAAACCGTGAAAAAAGCTACAGCAACAGCCATATGTGTTTAAATTCCAAGCAAATGGCAATATGAAAATTTTATCGTCCAACGGTATTTTTTGGTAAATTATTATCACCTTAATTTACAGTTACTTCATCCCCAAGGGGCAAGGAAAAACTATTGTTTAAAAAAAAATCATAGAAATAAAAATTGTTGATTTGCTAAACATAGCCTGTCCGAAATGTTGCGAACACCCTTAAGGATACATGATAAAGGGATGTCTATGTGCACCAAGAAAATAATACAAAATTTTTTCGATGTAGATTAGAACAATCGTTTTAGATTAGAATACATTTTGCAACGCTGACGCAACTATTGTCTGAAAGCTTTTCATTTTTTAAGACGACAACCACATATTTCATTGCATTAGGTAAACCAAATCTCATTTTATCAGTTTTTGAAAAAAGTAAGAGATTCATATATTTCTATCTATTAAAAAGAAAATAGTAAGTAATGACACATTGCCACGAAGAACAAAGATGAACTAAAATTTTTAATATTAATTATTGTGATAATTAGAGCATTATTTTGATTATATCCCAAATTTAACGTCAGTTATTTTCCTGAAAATGCGATAAAAATGTGTTTCGATATGTTTGCTATACATCCATCGATAATTTCGGACACATTTGTATAACTAATTGTTCAGAAGTATAAACATGTCTTTAAATAAACAACAAAAGTTAAGTTTTGTAAAACTGAATTATTTGAATAAAATGGATTTATTTAAAAAAATCTGCATTGTTAAAAAGTTTTTATCGGTGAACTACTTTAAGTCACACTAAACTATTTTATCATATAACTTCTTCTGTAAAATAACAAGTAAAAAAAATCCTTTTGTAAATCCATTCCGGGGACATATTGTTAATTTCCGCAAATTATAGTGAATTCCTCGAAAATTGAAATTCTTAATTCTACAAATGCACTGCTCATTTTCTTTTAATTTTTGAAAATATGAGAAAGCATCACATTAAAAAATGAAGAAATAGGAAAATAAGTATTGAAACATTTTTGTGAAATTCTTGAATTTATCTACAAAAAAAAAATATTTCTATTAACAACTTAAAATTTTTTATAGCAAAGATGTGTTATAATTATACAAATTAAATTCCCCGATACGGTATATTATTTTTTTTTTATTTGACAGAAATTCTATGATTTAAAAAATTTAAGTATGGTTGACATTAGAATAAAGTTTACCTTAGATTTTAACGATTTAATTTAATCTATGTTGCATATTATCTATAAAATCAGTACTTACTACTCTTACTTTAAACCCAGTGTAATGACTTAATCACATTGTCATTACTATCATCTTAATGTTAATTGTAAAAAGATTTGTCTGTGGACAATTCTTATCAGTAACTTATAGCTTATATTAATGCTAATGATGTTTACACAAAATAAGTTGATTGTAAATTGAGTATTTCTAAATTAAAATATATCTAACAATGGTGTTGTTTTCATACAAATAATAAAATAGCAAACCAAATTTGTAACCCTCCAAACACAAAAAAACCAAATTAAATTTTTATACTTTAATAATTTCATATTTTCACAATTTGATTTGCTACAGACTTGTATTCATGTAAATACACTGGAAACATACATTTTTTAGCACAAATTTACAGTAACAAAGAAAAACTTACCAATAGTAAAGTCCAGTGTTCATTTCAGATCTGTAACAGACAGTAATTTTAGACATAATGCATACATTTGAAAATTATCTTATCTACACATTTAAACTAAAAGTAATCAGCAAATAATTAGGTGGTGTACTAATGCTCCAATTACACTGACTTTTATTTGACAGTTCTAATACAGCTTTTTTAAATCCTAACTTCTTTAAGATTATTTTTTAAACTCGCTATCGGTTCATAGTTCAATGTAGGTTATTTACTCGAGTCAATTAGGATTTAGCAGTACGTGACCTGAAACCAGCAGCTAAATGGAATACTTTGAGAAGCTATGGGACCATTTCGGACAATGACGTCATCCTATCCTCGGAGACTAAACCCTACCTTCACTCAATTGTTTTCTTATTTCTTATAAATTGTTTCGTTCCTAAGACAGTCCCCAGAGAATGAACTCTCATGTCAAATGATGTCTTTAATTTAATGCCATGTATCTTTATTTCGCTGCATTCCTTATCTTCTTAGTTTCCATCGGAGAATTCTAGCATAATACGCGAGACCCGCATTCGATTTCTTGGGACTTAGTTGTATATACAACCGTTTACTGCCATCGATCCGAGGAAAACTCTCAAGAGGAGCGATTTTTGGGAAAAAGGACAAGCGGTTACGTAAATTGTCTCGTAATAACATAAAACATCAATATTAAGGTAGCCGGTACCGCAAACTACGACAATATAAACTTGACGATATTACGCTCTTTCGTAGTGCTGAAGTTGGGAAACGAGAGAGGTCCTTCAGCCGCTTCGTTGACAAGTACCCTTAAGCGAAGTTGCGTAACAAGTATTGCTATACACGCGCCCTTTGCCCATTATTACGCCATATTACGTGGCCGAAGTATGGATTCTTATTTGCTTTTAGTTTGTAACTACTTCATTTCATAATTACCTGCCTTAAGGCACTGATTCGGCCGATGTTGGAAAGATTAGTAGTCGAAGTATGTTACCCCTAGAAATATTTGAAGCATAACAGAGCTATGAGTATGAACTCTTGAGGCATATAAATGCTACGAATAAGTAAAATTCTACCTTCAGTAATTCAAATTGACATTCGCAATAAATTATATAACGAACATAACTTATTTGAACACAACAAATTAAATGCCATTTAGTCTACTACGATAGCTAGAAATATCGAAATCTTCTGTATACTTTTCTTTTCATTTTCTCAAACTGTTACGTTTATGTAAAGTGCCTTTTTTCAATTAAATAAGGAAACACAAAAAGAAAATTGTTTGTGCCTTATTTATCATATGTTAGAATACTTGTATTTCGTTACTAGAAATGATAAAAAATACTATCAAAAATGAAAAATTCTGAAACAATAAAACAAAAACACGTTGGAATCGAAAAAAGAATCTTTTACACAACGACTTCAGCAACTTTTTCACATTTTTTTTTCTGTTATATAAAGAGATACAGAAAAATCAATACAAATTCGTGTTTCAGGAAGTATTTATAACTAATTTCATCTTGTTTTGCATTAAAATGGTGGAGGCGCCGAGCTAATTTTTATTAATATTCATTTTAAGAATTCTTAAGACACTTTTTCATCGAGTAACCTATTTTAAAAGAGGTAATGCGATTCTTTAAGTACATGTCTTACCAAAGGGAATAAAAGTGGGGTTTCGAAATTACTTAGACAAATTTATTTTTGCACATAAATACTTTTTTCCCAAAAGAGAGCTTATTTAGAAATAAGCTCCGAATTTCGATAAAATGCAGGGTATCTCGTTTAAATATATTAGATAACTAACAATTTTTAAATTTAATCATCCTGTATAAATAGGTTTGTGAAAGCAATATCAGTTAATAGTTTTGAGAAAAGTTTCAGATTACATATTTAAATATGGCGGAGTCGAAAATTTTTAATGTGACCATTTTTACGTCAAATTTGAAATGAATGTTGAAAACTGTATATGATTATTAAATATAACGTTTTAAAAATTAAAACGCTTGTAACGCCTAAGAAGAGACCAAGCAAGCTATGCAAAAATTTTGTAGACTATTCCATAAAAAAATAGAGAAAACATCTTGTAATTATAAATTTAGGTTATACAACTCAAGAACCTATAATTTTAGTAGTTGACTCTAAAATTATGAGATATCGAGGAGCGAGCGCTTATTGACGCCCGGCTTGTATATTTCAAAATTAGTCACATCACACACATTGACAACAATACACATATATTTGAACACTTAAAATGAATGTTACTTGTTTGTAATATATATAGTTATACATTTATATCTTCATTAGGCAATGTTCTAATGGGTGTTTATAGCAGAAACTTTTTTTTTTAAATTAACAAGTAATAATGCATAATTATGCCAAAACAATATTATACGTTTTTCGAAATACTGTACAAAAAGAATTTAAACTTTACGTATCAAAAAATTTAGATTACATCATGTTTTTTGAAAAATAAAAATTCTCAAATCTATTGCAAAGTCAAAAATTATAAAGAAGACGTTAAGCAAATTCAACAATAATAATTTAACGTTGACTGACTTGTTTTGCTGTGAATTGAATGTAGGTTATCTGTTTTGACGATCGCATGTTATAGTTTATTTACTCGTGTTTCTACATATTTTTCAAACATTCCTGTAAATATTTTTTACTTGTTTTTACAATATATGTGAGCTGGGAGAAGTTAGATGTGAAAAACAAATCTATCAAAGAAAGAATAAAACAACGTAGGTACGGAAATTGAGATCACAGGAAGAATTAATAAAAAAATAACTAAAAAATAGTCAGATAATTGGAGGAGTCCATCTTTACTTTTCTAATCTAACTGAAAATAACATCGTGGAAACTCGTATAATTATTGCTTAAATTCGGGAAACTTATATATGCGCTAATTACTGTATTATTATTTCCAAATCATTTTCATCTCGCGACCCTACTACAAAGCATTTATTCAAATAGTCTATATTATATTTGGCTGAAGAATATTAATTTATTATTTAAAAAACTCTTTATCACGATAACATTGACAGGATAATTGAAAGATCGAATATTGTTTTGAGGATGCAACTCCAGTAAAAATAAGTTTAATCTATTAATACCTTTATTCGTCAGATTTCGTTGCTGAAATTTTATTTTAATTGTTCGGCAGTGTACGGATATACAAAATTTTCACTACCCCTCCCACTATTGATGTTTTGTGTGAAAAAACACATTACATTACTTTACTAATATACATATACACAAAGTTTGGTCCATACGTTTCTGCTTTATTCAGCAGAATATTTTACTCACAGAAATATTTAAACTTCCAACACGACGTGTTCCAACATTTCCATTATTATTAACAACAACACCAACATCAACAGCCATAGGGAATTATTTTTAAACATAAATGGAAATACACTTTCGACGTTAACGAAGTATTATTTAGGAGATTATCATGTTCACAACGTGTTTACCTTGTGAAGTGTATTTTGCATGATTCCTTTCCACGAAACCCACAAAAAATGTTGTTCCATAAGCAAATTAGTGATGAAGTAATGCGTGAAACTGATAACATTTTTAGAGGGTAAAACGATAAAAAAGCGAGAATAATCCTACTTTTTAATGAACATTGGCTTTTTATTTAATTTGGAGAGTATAATTGAAAGTGTTTGAAAGCTCTGTCCAAAAAAATTGGTCGAAAGTTTATTCGACAGAATTTCCTCGCTCCTGAAATACAGTAGAATAAATGCAGCTTTTTTGAAAAATTATAAGAATTGATTTTGCGAATTTTATTAGTTTTATAACCTCGGAAAACACTATAAGTCAAAATGATTGAATGTCCTTGAATTTTCTCTTGCACACAAAAAAAAGAGTACTGATCTATAATTATAGACTGAAACTTAGAAGTTTTAGACTAAGTTTGATAATCTAGGCAAAATAAGTTATAATGAAAAATATTTACCGATCTTCCAATGTTAATTAAACCGCTTTATCCTGTTTCGTTACTGAATTAAAAAACATAAAATTTACAGACTAAAATGCAATTCCGTAAGTGATGCGAAAATAACGTGGTCGTATGGACAGGTTTAACAAAATATTTCTCCACGGTAATTATACAAAACTCAATACTTATGAAACGAATCAAGCAAAGGAACTAATTAATAGTATTCTGACGTACGAATGATAAAATATTAACAAGAAAAATAGATGTCTTAAAATAGTCCACACGTGTTCTAAATCCTATCGATCGAAATGTATGTGGCGTTTAGAATTCCTGGATTGTCTTGCACAGCATTATCGATTGGAACTTGCAGAAAAAAATTATAAAATTTTGCTTGTCCGTGTGTGTTTTCGTTTTCTTCTTTCTTGAAGTTATCATGTAAAAAAATAGCATACATTTTACTGAGAAAATAAGTGGAATATCAACGTTAAGACCATCCTCATTAATTAAACAGATCAAACGATTTTGTGATGTTTGCCCTTAATTGTGCTAGTCTTCTCATATGAACATTTCTTTATCTAACTAGGTAGTACTGCACCCGTACTAATTTCACACACAAATTTGAATAACTAGAGTCTAAAATAGGAAGCGAGATCGCGGTTATTGAGACGACGTGATCAGTTTAAAAATTTGTGCATGGAAGTAGTACCGGTGCAGTACTACCTAGTTAGATAAAGAAATGTTCAGATGAGAAGACGTTTGCACAATGTAAATATTGTACTTATAGATTGTATTCTAAATAATAATTGTAAACTTTACATCAATAGTATAGATCCAATGGATATTGATTTGCCGAGTACTCCTCCAGAAATTACTGCGGCAGCAAATCAAGCAAGTATTTTCCTACTGCCCCAAAAATCATTGAATATCTATGAGAACACACACCAGAAATTTATGGGACTGCGAAGTAGGAAGAAAATTTTAATTTCTTTTCCGAAAGTGTAATACTAACATGTTTGTCAGAATTATCGAGGAATTTTAAGTTATCAACACAGAAGTCATTACTTGATTTTGAAGAGTACTATAAACCTTAGGA